TTGTACTCCTTCCGTCTTGAATTCATTGTCTCATTTTCTTTTTCATTCTGTCTCAAAATAATTGTCTCACTTCTTTTCTAAAGAATGTGTGATCCATAATCTTTTTCTTTTAGTCTTTCCTCTAACCAAATTGCAATCACCTACTTTTTTACTTCACAACATTTTTTCTTAAATTCCGCAAAGTCAAACTGAAACAATTTATTTTGTATATAGAGAAGTATATGTCATCCTGATCTTCGCCTGTTTTAGCAAATCACGAGCTAAGAAATCCCACCATTTTGAAATTCTTATTATTAAAAAAAGCTTCCATTAAACTTTTTTTTTATAGCTCAATTTAGCCACAATAACTTGACTTCAGTTCTGAGTTTGGGTGTTAGTCTCTCCAAATCTATCATAACAAACAATGTTTGGAGTTCAAATTGTAAGATCACTCACTCATTACAGAATGTGGGATCAAGAAACAAACTTTGTTGACTATTAAAAAAACACAGTAAAAGAGTTATCAGAACTTGATACACTGTACAAACTGGTGTGTTTACCTCAGTCACAGTCACCACCACCCCATCAATGTTCTTCTTACCCTATCCACAATATGATTTCTGCATACCACTGATGTCAACTCATAGCTGCAATTCTCATCCAATAGGAATTTGTAAACCTCCCATTCCCTATCCCCCGCCGAATGCCTCCCAATCTCCGCCTGCAAATTATGAGCAGTGGGTGGGTTTTCAAATTCGGTTCGCGCCGCAACAAGTCAGTAAAATATAAAAGTAACAAGTTAAGGAACACTAGTAGCCTTACAGAAAAGATGCAGATCCCAAGGGCTTTTAGGGAAAATGTGACGTCATAGAAAACACGCGGTCTTCCCCTTCCTGAGAGCTCCACTGGGTTGGCCACAAGAAGTTCGGTATCTGGCCCACGGTTTGAGATTATCACGCGTAAAGGGTGAAGCAATTCGGCCTTCAACCTAGAGCACAATGCAGCTTGTTTCTCGGGATCCAAAATCTTTTTACCATCTTTGTGCAGTACAAAGAGATCAAGTTCCCTCTGGCCCTTATTAGCTTCAGAAAAACGGCCATATGCTATCTAAAAAAACAAGAATGTCAAATGGACTAATTAGTCCCAATGATATAGTACTCCCTCCGTCCCCCATACATTTTCTCAAATTGACTTTTTGTAGTTTTTAAGGAGAGCTGAAAAAATGAAAGTTTACTAAAATATCCTTAATAAAAGTGGGTGGAGTATATTAAATGAGGCGGGTGAGGCGTAATAAATAAGGTAGGTGAGGGTAGTTGTGGTATTTTAAATGTTAAAAAAGGTAACGGGAAGATCTTTCTCGAACAAACAAAAAGGGCATTTGGGAAGATCTATGGCGCACGGAGGGAGTACATGCTAAATTCTAGAGAGGAATGTGAAGAAGAAATGATCACCTTAATATTACTGTCCTTCAGTGTTCGCATTATGTCATAAAGAAAGCCCTTGTGATCAATGCAACTAATCTGAAGCAATGTATGAGCAGGACTCAAGAAATTATCCATAACCACACTGGCTTCCTTCAATTTCCTCACATCTGAGCTAAGAGCTTGTAAGTAGCGACTTTCGTGTTCTGATAATTCACATCCAAACAACTCATAGGCAACTGAAGGGGAGAGAGCAGAGATGTACTGAAGCTTTTCAAAGTCTGGACCGGCTAACTTGAGCTCACATCTAATGCACGAATCGCCTAGGACAACACGCAACCTCTCACATATTTCCTCTTGTTTCTCTTTTACATCTAAGAGCTCCCTGATGCCGAAGAAGAAAAAAATTAAAAAATAACTATATGTAGCAAACTTTAAAAGGGGGACATTGGTTGTTAGAAACAGGAGAGCGTGTAATTCTTACAAGTTATCTTTTATGAAGAAAAGATCCAGTACACGGCCATCTGGTGTTGTTGTCACTTTTACTCTTTCGATGGATAACTCAAACTCACAAAGAAATTTGGTAACATCTAGCATATTCATAAAACAACATCAGATTGCAATGTAAAATAATAACGAAAGGCTTGAAGTAAAGCAGGGCATTCTTCATTACCATGCAATAGCCCTCTCCTATCAACACAACAAAACGTCAAGAGGTAAATGGAGGAAGTGGGAGTGGAAGGAGAGTATTGATTCAAATAAAGTAGAGAGGAGCATGGCGGGCAGATAGATAAAAGGCATTCCTTCAAATTGGCCCATCTCACGGTAGGGGTGTAAGGTTGAGGAGACACCCACAACACTACATAGCACCATACTCCATCAGTTGAAACATCTGTTTTAAACAATAATTATGAGGTTAGTGATAAGCTTTTCGTTCTCAACAACTAACAGGAAAATAACAAAGCTAACATTTTGATGCAACCGGCACCTTGTTTGGTGCAAAAGAAAAAATTTCAACATGCACATAAAAGAGAACGGATACACCAGATAGACTAAGGTGGATCTTCCTCATAAAAAGTTGAATATTAAATAGGGACTAGTGGCAGGCCTGAATGTAATACGCTGATTGATCCAAGCCATGACTAGGTTATGAAGTACGGTCTCTTGGTCTTTGTCTCAGTCTTGGTCTTTTCTTCACCTTCTTCCTCTCAGCTACGCTATGGGTTCTCCCCCAAGCCTCACTGAGAAAGAGATTAGTGAGTACAGTATTTTGACTTTCATCTTCAAAGTCGTGAGATATTGCTGCTCCTACTCTTCTTAAGGCGTAGGGGCAGCAATCTCTGACAGCTCTGGGGAGAAGTAGCACGGAGGGAGACAAAGCAAAGATGATGATTGAGACGAAGAAGAAGAGATGAAGACCGAAAGACGGCACTTTAAAACTTAGTCATAGCTTGGACCCAACAATGGGTGTTATACATTCAGGCCTGTCATTAGTGCCTTCTTGATTTTTAACTTTAGACGAGGAAAGGCCGAGCACTAGTAATAGCTTGGAGTACAAAACATTGATCCAAAATTCCATTTTTCGCTTCTGGGTCTATGTATTTTGGGAGATTGACACTTCCCTTCTCGGCTTGAGCTTAGATTTTCAGTCACTGTCCAAGAATAGTTTACAGGGAACACGAATTGCAGTAAACACACAAAATCAAAACAAGAAGGAAAAAATACCCACTATTCTGTACTACTTGTGAAAAACCAGAACTAAACGCTAATTCAGACTCCATGAGTAGCTAATAAAACAGTGAAAATAATTAATTAATGAAAAAAATCACCTCCTTTAGTGACATGGAGCCCGAATTCAAGAACGGTTCGACAGATATCGCAACCGAGGCCGGTCTTATCCGGGCAATTGACCGTAACCATGTACGGGTCGCCGGGTCGCTTCCCTCTCTGGATCACAACGCCGTCGTCGTCGGTCCGCATTCGAATCTGGGCAGGGAAGAAAATATGTGAAGAATTGAGGCCGGGAAGAATGGAGGCCAAGCTGGAGATGTAGAGTGCGGGGAGAGGGGTTGACAATAAGAAGACGCTTGCTTTCTTTGGTGGGAAGCTCAGCAAGTGTCCGCCTTCTTTAGCAGGACGGCTCTTTCTCTTTCTTTTCTTTTTTTTATTTACTCTGTAAACCTAGAAAGTGTCTAAATTGGAAAGTGCTACAAGAGTACAAGCTTGCCTACTAGTACTATAATTTCACATAACCCTTCTACAATTGTACCATGTCCTATTTAGAGTTTAGACATAGCTTTAAAATTCGGAATAGTGACTCAACCAGTCAAGGTACTGGTTCACTGTTTTATTGGTCGAATTAATGGTTTAAGCAGTCGAATCAGCTATTCAAACATATTTAATGAATTTTGATTGAAATTATAATATATTTGATTTTGTATAAAATAAAAATAACTCTTTTCGTTTGTACATACAATTTTATGATGTTTGATTGAAATTATAACAATTTTAATTTATTTTATTAGTTAATTTATATTTAAAATAAAATTTACATATCGAGAAGTATATTAAAAGTTTTATAAAATAAGGATGTTTTTATTTTTGTATACATTTTGTTAATATCCAAAAATATTCAAATGAATTTTTTTTCGCGAAACATACTCCGTATTAGAATGAATTGTATTTTTTTAATGTTAGAAATCCTAGTTTAAGTAATACAGAATTTTTTAATACATATTTATTTTTTTAATTATGGAGTATATACTACTTGGGACGAGTATGTGATAAAAAGCATTATTGCTTAGTTGGCGGATAGCTTGATATAACATACAAGAAGTCTAAGGTTTGAAACATATGGATGAAAAAAAACAGGTTCGGGTGAACTGGCCAAGTCTTCTTAGATCTACTTCTTCCTTTAATCACATGTTAGTTTACCATTTGATCAACCTTTTTTTATGAAAATCTATTAATTTTTTTAATATCATTACATTTAAAGAGATATTTCAAATTTTTAATTTAGAATTGAAATGACTTTTTGAAATCTCAAAAGAATACACTGAAATTTGAAATAACTTTTTTAAATCTCAGTTAAATATCCACAAACGATTAAATTGTAAAAAAATTATACTCCCTCCATCCCCTTTTTTATTACAATATTTCCTTTTTGTGCATATTAATAATAAGTCAAATCACTCAAAAATTTCCTAAACTACCCTCTAATTTCATGTTGTGCTCCATCACGTAGGAAAGGCTCAAAGTGGGTTTAAATAAAGCAAATATGAATAGTAAAGTCACTCTTTACATAATGTGGGAGGGGTATTTTGGTAACATTTATGAGTAAATATTACCAAATTTAAGTTTTGTAATCAATTTTGGGCAAATAGATGAAGTAATATTGTAATAAAAAAGAGGACGGAGGGAATATAACGTTTGGATTGAATACTCTTCTTAACATAATCCTATGTTGGAAAAGGGCCCTTAACCATTTCTTTGAAATGCTTATCACCAATGTGCTCCACAAGAAATGTTGTTTTGAAAGTTCTTCACAATGTCTAAACACATAATCAATATGTTGTGTAATTTATTTGCCTTCAATTGTGGACAAATAACAATACTTGATTATATGTGAATCTCAATTTCAATTATTTGCTTCTAATTATTTCAATAATTGAAGAAATCATCAGCAGAAAAAAATGCAAAAGAAAGAAAAAACACTTCGAATATCCAAATAGTTACCATTACACATGTTCTGAGTTCACAATGAGCAGTAGAATAACAAAAACAGAGGATCTAGACGAAGAATTCTCCAATGGAGAAGAAACACTGAACGGAATCAATATAATTTCTAGCCGCCGAAGCCGTACAGAGTCCTTCCCTGCCTCTTGAGCGCATAGACGACGTCCATCGCCGTAACAGTCTTCCTCCGGGCGTGCTCCGTGTAGGTCACCGCATCTCTGATCACATTCTCGAGGAAGATCTTCAGAACGCCTCTGGTCTCCTCGTAGATGAGGCCGGAGATCCGCTTCACGCCGCCTCTGCGAGCCAGACGGCGGATGGCCGGCTTGGTGATGCCCTGGATGTTGTCCCGGAGAACTTTCCGGTGACGCTTGGCGCCCCCCTTTCCCAGGCCTTTGCCTCCCTTTCCACGGCCCGACATTTTTGCAGAGAGTGAGATTGAAGTTGGGAAGATGATTAGGGTTTTCAATTGGGCAGATTATCTAGCTCCGATTTCGATGCTATAAGAAAAGACTGCGGGGAGGTGATTTTTATACCTCGGCTCCGGGTTGAGGATAAATGGGTGGTTTAATCTCGATCGTTGATTGCTAAGGGTCAATCGACGGTCAATAAAGGCGATCCGATTCAAGAGCAGAAATTGTTCGTGAGCCGTTGATCGTGTACGAATCGACGATTACGATGGAACGATTTTGAGTGGCGGTAAAAGTGTTTTTCATTGCGAAATTTTAGAAGCGTTTTGAACTTTTGAGGAACGGAGCGGATTTCAACTTTTCACGCCATTTTCAATTTCAAATTCTTTTTTAATCCCGCATTAACGTCAAACAAAAATTACTAATCCCATTTCCTTTTGAGATTTTTTCAGTTTGATTTTTTATGTCAAATTTTCAAACATTTTACTCTAATTTGATTCTTTTGTGTCAAATTTGACCTGATGGGAACCAAGCCCATCGAGAGGAATGTGGCAAATTGGGCCTAAGCCCAATCGGGACCCCGTCCATCAAAAGGAGTGTCCGGCCCAGATAAAATATACCGGGCCGGTCAAAGGAAGGCTATCCATAAAGAAAGATAGGAAAAGGAAGAGAAGTGGGGCTTAAGAATGGGCTGAAGCCAGCCCATTAAGGGTGAGCTACCCACGAAGAGAGGAATCCTATGAGGAGTTTGGGGAGTCCCCCCTTTCACTTGAAGGAACAGGGACGAGGAGAAAGAGACGGACGAAGGACAGGGAGCAAGAGATGGACAGAAGGCTTTGTCCTCCAGTGGATGGCCTCAAGTGGAGATACATTCCTCCCAGAAGATGCAGGCTGGCAGGAACATTCCCCCTGG